GGTCCCGGTACAATCTGTCCCGCTCGGTTCCCGGTACAATCTCCCCCCGGGCCCGCCCGCCTCTCCCCTCACCGGCCACCACGAACTTGGCCATGCACGCGCCGCCCGCCAACGGCCGCTTCGGCGTTGCTCAGCAACGCGCCGCCCGCGGCAGTTTGTCCCTCGGCCCGCGCCGTCGCTCTCGCGAGGTTCGCCGGGAGCTGGCGGGGCGGCGGGCCCGGTGTCATGGCGGCGCCGCGTGTGAGGTAACGGCGGCCGCTGCGAGTGCCCGGCTCGGCCCTTCCCAGCCTTTCCCGGGCCCATCTCGCTCCCTTCCCGGCCGGCGCCATTCCCGCGTGCTCCGAGCCTGTGCGAGCCGCCGACAGGCTTCTGGGCCAGCAGGAAGTGATCCCGAAACCGAGCGGCTTCTCCCCGGCGGCGGGAGAGCGCCCGCGGGTGTACCGTAAAAGTTGCTTTCCCGTGGGATGGCAGGGAGGCTGAGACAGGGAGGGATTCTGTTACCCGCTGCTGAGAGTCTGCAGGGACTCTTGGGTGTACCTGGGAAAGCGTCACTTAGTAAAAGACTCTGCTTCCCTAGAGCTCCGAGGTAGAGCAGGAAATAGGAAGCTAGAGCTGATGCCATTGTGCTGAGGCGTTTGAAATGTAGGAGACCAAATAAAAGCTTCTCTGCAAACGGTTTTCCAGGAAACTTTTATCTCCCTTCCCTAAAAGTGCACAGATTTGGCGGTTGGAACTGTGGGAATGGGAAGTCTGGTAGCTAATCCRTAATTTTCAATTGTTTTTACAGATGAGTGATCTTACGCAGTTTCTCCAGAACTRTTTCCACTGGTAGAATGTCATCAGATCCCCTACTTCGAGTTGGCATTTCAAATCTATTAAKAAGGCATTAGCAAAAATGAATAATAAAATTAGTTATTTGTTAAATACGGTTAGATGCGTGCAGAGGTACAGTTCTGTGCTCACTCCCAAATCTTCAGCCACAACAAGAAAACACATTTTATGGATTGCCAGACACAGGGATCCCCTTGCAAATGTGAACTTCAGGAAATTATTTTTTAATACTTTGCCATCTCTGCATGGATCATCTCTTCGATTTCTGTCTCAAAAGACAGATATTTTTAGCACAGGTACAGAGGTGTTGGTGAGTGAGAAGGCTTCCCAGAGCTCTTTGGAAGTTGAAAAGTTGGGTGATTCTGGGAGCTTCAACCCGAAGCGTGCAGTGGATCACAATGAGCCATTCTTCACCATTCTCCGCAAGTGCACCTGTCCGAGTGATGCGTTGGACTTGGCTGCCGAGGCGGCTGTTTCTGTCAAGCACTACACAAACTGTTTAACCACGGCCTGGAGGCTCTTYAAAAGCTTGTCAGAGGAGCAGCAGCGCTACGAGAAGCAGCTGATCTTTGAGCACCCGGCGTTCACGAAGCTGTGCCAGCAGCTGCTGCACAACGCCCGCAGGATGACGCGCGGGGACCTGGTGTTCAGCCTGCACGCCCTGGTGAGCCTSGGTGTGCCTCAGAACACACTCCTAGTCCAGACTTTGGTCAGAGTGTGCCAAGTAAGTGTGAAAAACCTGCTCCTCAATTTGGGCTGAAACCTCATGGGTAATGCTGGGAGGCTGTGCAGCATCAGAGAGTGTTGGATTACATCCCCTGGTTTAGTCTGATGTTCCATGGAGACAGTTCCCATGGTTCATTTCTGTGTACTTCCAATTTCCTTAATTTTTGAAACCACTGCCAGATTTCAGATTTAAAAGAGAGAAGTCTCATTACCCRTTTCAAATCATTTAAGTTTGACTGATGTGAGACGTTGTGGGGTCCCTGCAGAATTAAACATTGTGAATTGACTGTTGAGGGGAAAAAGAAAAAGGCAGATTAAGAGTGGTCAGTTTTTCTTTTCTGAAATGTTTATTGGTTTGAAGTAATCTGACATTGTCAAAACTTTCAACAGGAGAAGCTSAATCAACTTGATAACCGATGTATCTCAGTTTTGGCAACTACTGTAGCAGGGATGGATAAAGACAAGAATGTGAGCGCTCTTCAAGCTGGATTACAGTGAGAAAAATATATCTTTCACGTGTTCTTCATATTTAAATGTCATTTGAATACATGTCTGTTAGAAATCATCAAGGGAATGTCTGCACATAAAATACATCCTGTGGTTTTAGGATTTAAATGATCATATGAGTTRAGAGCTGTGCAAAATAGTGAATTTTGGCACTGTCTTTGCAGTTTGGAGGAGGAGGCTTCTAGCRGTAAAGGGTGATAGACTGGTCTGCAGGGGATTGTGTTCTGACTGCAGCTCCACCAGCAYAGTTTTTTTGTGATGTTGATCAAGTCCCTTCCCATATCTATCCCTCTTTTATCTGTGTGCAGACAGGAGGTAATGAGACTATCTTACTTAGGGACCTATCTGATTTTTCACAATGACAAACATTCTTTAACAGCCTTTAACAGAATATTTTCTTTCAGTTTAGYAAGTAAAAATTAAGATGAAAACTAGTTGCATCCAGCAAGCCCCTCTGTGTAGTGATTTATCAGAATAACTTCTTTGGCTGTGGTGAATTTTTTTCTGGGCCACTGTGATTTATGTGTGTGACCAATCTGCTCACTCCCATTAGATTGCTTTTACTGAGGCTRTAATAAAACTTGCCATGGATTAGTACTTTTGAATCCTGTATCATGTTCTGCTTTGAGAAAGTGAGTATGATACTTAAAAACCAGGTTCTCCTGGAAGCACAGGTACACAGTTCTTAAAAGTTGGTAGAAAGCAGGAGACCTATCTTCACTTCTCTGTCTTGATGTTTGAAGCTCTGGCCCATTTGCAGGCATGAAATTTAACACCAGTGCACTGCCTTAGAAAGTGACACTTCATATTTTTGTAGGTATATTTACCTGTGCAGTTATATTTAAGGGTGATTCAGACATAACACTTACAGTACCACCCTTTGAGCCAGAAAATGAGGTGCTAAGAGTGCACCTTCATATCTTGTGCTTATGATCTCTGCAATATGATATCCTCCTCTGTTCTTGCAGCACACAGCACTGCTTGTTTGGTTTTATTCCTCACTTACATCCATTTGTTTCTTGTGCCTATTCTTGAATTTCCTGTCTTTTTCAGAACTTGCCTGCACATAGATGACTTAAAATAAAAATGCGCAATTTTCTTYTTCTGCAGAAAGGTGTTAATTCCTTGAGGCTAAGCAGCACTCAYATCTGCACTGTCACATGTGCAGTCTGGTCAGACACCTCTGCTTTAAGTGTATCAGCAACAACATTCATGTATCAGCATAATGTTAAGAAAGCATTTATAATCATTTCTATGTGTAAAATATCTATGCTGCAGCTACATCATGTAAAATTATGCCAGCATTTTAACAAAAAGAAGGTGGGAGAGGAGCAG